CCAGCCCCTGCTGCTGACCCTCATTGGCGGTGGGTTGGCTACGGCGAGGCCCCTGCAGGAGTATCGGGCAGGATACGACCCAAGAGCCTTTTTGGCAGCCTGCCCTGCTTAGGGGACATGCAGACCCGGAGAGCTGCTGCGTGACTGTCCCCAGAGCGCTCGGCTGAGCCCGGCGCAGCGATGCTGCTTCATTAGAGCTTTTAACGTGGAGCTGGGGCGTGTTGCAAGGAGCCGCTTAGGACCCAGGGAAGCGCTGGAGAGCCTGGCTGGCCGGGCTTGGAGCAGCTCCTGCCTCCCCGGCCAGCACTTCTCAGGTGTCCTGGTGCGACGGCGCCGTGCGAGGCGAGCCGGGCTCTCCTGGCAGCTCCCCCTTCCCCGCCTCCATGCCCACCCTCTGAGACTCCCTGGGCACCCATGAGCTCGCCCGGGGACCGCTCTGCACCATGAATGACCAGTACCACCGAGCAGCCCGGGACGGCTACCTGGACCTCCTGAAAGAAGCCACCAAGAAGGACTTGAACTCGCCGGATGAGGATGGCATGACCCCGACCCTATGGGCCGCCTACCACGGCAACCTGGACGCCCTGAGGCTCATTGTCAGCAGAGGGTGAGCGTTGGCGAGTGCGCGGTGCCGGTCCCGGGGCACGGAGTAGCCGGGACCCCGCCTTTCCCCCTTCCCCGCTCACAGGTCAGCGTGGGTGCAGATGCCTCCCCAAATGATGGCTTCTGTCTGCAGCACCCCTACCCCTGCCCTCCCCTCTGCTGCTTTCTCTCCTTGCGTTGCTTTGAGTCTAATCCGGTGCTCCCGATAGCCGCTCTGTTTCCCCAGCTCCTCTGACCCTACAGCTTCTCCTGTGCCAATCCTGCTTGCAGCTCCCTGGGTGGGGCTGGGTCCCCCCTGAAAGTGCTTTGTGCTCCTGAGCCAGGTCCTGCAAAGACAAGCAGGGCTGAAGTGCAAGCCCATCAAGTCACCACCATGAAAAAAATCCTTTTAAATGATGGGGCAGAGGGAATAACTGCTCTTTCTGTCCCAAGAAATGCTCACATAGAGAGACGTGCGTGGTGCCAGCTGGCAGTAGGTGACACTTCCCTGTTTTACCCAAAAAGAGGTCTCAATATGTGACCCCCAGGCAGCTTGTGGTGCACCTGGAACCCAGGAGATTTGGGAGCAGGTTCCTCAAGAGCAGATTCTAAGCCCAGTCTCCCTGGTCGGGGGCCACTCAATGCTGCTGTTTCTCTAAGTACCTCACTCTGGGCTGCCAAATCTGAGGGTCTCTGGCCCTGTATTGATGGATGTGGTGGGGAGAAGGGAGCAGGACTGAGGGGACTTGTCAGACTGGAGGGCTTTACATCTTGGTGTTGAGGGAACTGTGCAGGAAGGGCTGTGCTGAGGCAAGATCTGCCATACCTAGTTCCTTCCTGAGCAGAACGTGGCTCTCCTGATCTTACCAACCTCCTAAGGGAGCATCTGCCAGCACTTTCTTCTGCTCTGGCAGCTTTTTCACCTAAAGGCATCCAAGGTGGAGTGGCCTCTGCCTCGTGTTGAGAGACTGGTGGTGGTGCTGATTTCGATTTATTTCTTTCTAATATTGAGGAATAGTATTGAGGTCAGCAGCCTGGATGTGCATCACGCCCCCATGGAAGGGCTTTGCTTCTCCGTGTTGGGTTGAGGTTTGGTGGGGCCATCAGCTCCCAGGCAGGGATTTTCTGTGTCCATCCTGGACTGTGTTTGCAGCTCTTGTGCCCGATCAGCTGCATCTCCACTGTGCCTGTTCCTGGGGTCTCACCATCTCCTGATACTCTGGTCTGCTTGTGCAACACCTTCAGCCAGCTCCTCCAGCCCTGGCCAGCTGTACTTGCAGGCAGACCTCCCCACATTGCTGTCCTTCCATTGTCATCTTTTCAGATCCTGAGGTCAGAAGGGCTGTGTACAGAGTCACTTGGAAAAGTCACCGAGTGCCTGATGCAATAGGAGTGTGGTCAGGAAAAGGTGATTTCAGAGTCCAGAGAGGAGAGAGCAAGACATTGCTCTGAGTGGTTTATCCTGACATGTGGCTGGGCTGAGAGCCCCATGATGCTTCCCTAGGTCGGGGCTGTGTGCCTTACTGTGTACCTCCCAGGGGAGACTGTGCCCAGCAGAATCCTGCTCTGAGCTCCTGCTGGGAGGGGAATTGCCACTGAGGGCCAGAGAAACAAGGGCAGGAGCTCTGAGGATGAGACAGTGAAGTCAGAAATGGTTCCAAAGACTCTCTGATGGCCAAAAAAGTTAATCTAAAAGGCCCGTGTTGTGGATGGGCTTTGCCTTTCTGGAGAGGTGTTCAACCATGATATGAGCCTTTCAGGCTGACTTTATATCTGTTTGTATCTCCTTGCATTGCCTGCTTCCCTTGCAGGACACCCTGCAGCCCCGCTGCCTACCCTGCCAACCCACACTTCCAAGCCAGCAGTTTCTGCCTCCCCCTGAAGCCCGAGGGCTGCTTCTCCCTGGAGAGGGACCTTTTATTAATTCACATTGGATTAAAAGGTCCTCGTGGGCGCAATCATGTCCGAATGCAGCTTGGCTGCTCTTTAATTAACAGCCTAACATACATTTGCTCCTGACAAGGAAAATAGCTTGGCAAGAGCCTGGTGCCCTTTGTGTGATGGATGGTGGAGCAAAGCACGTGTCTGGGGCTGCAGGATGTGCTGACAGCCGTGCATCCATCTCCGTGTGTCAGATCCTCACCCGGGCCCTGCAAAGCCTCCTTGCCCTGCTGCTCAGCTCGGTGTGGGGGCATGTCCCCCTCTGCTCCCCACAGCTGCCTTTGGGTCCACGAGGGGCAGGAAAGCCCCAGCCTAGGGACAGGAGTGCCAGAGAGGGGAAATCGTCCAGGACCCAGGATGAGTGGGCAGACCCTGTAATTTTCTGCTGGTTGTTAGGATGATGTGTTGATAAACAGAATTTAAGTCTTGTTCAGACATGAGACTTTGTTTTGTGTTGGATATGTTACTATTACACCTGCAATGTAACAACTGGGAGGCAAGAAGGAGGAACCAAGTGTCCCAGAATATTAGGGCATTTCTTTCTGGCCTCTGCTGTAAAAATATTCCTCTTTTGGCATGGAGAGCCCTGCACAGGGAGGCAGGAGAGTGTGGGTCTGTGGCACAGAGCAGTGCCTGGGGAGGGCAAGGGCTTCAGCCTGGGCTGGCGCCACAGAGGGATGAGCTGGTTAGCCTCTGACTGGGCTGCAAGGAGATGCCAAGGAGCTGGGGCTGATGTGGGAGTCTTGGGGCAGCAAAAAGCACCAAATCCTCTTTGGCAGTGCCAGGCAGTGGTACCAGTGCCCAAAAAAGCCGGGAGACTGAGTGCTGAGGCCAGGCTGTTATGAAATGTCCTAGTGAGGCTGGCTGGAGGCACCCTGACAAAACAGGGCTGTCGGAGGGGGGCTGCTGGGGACAAAAATCACAGCTCTGATAGTTGTGCCCTGCTGTAGGCTGGGCTGATGGACACTTGGGATTATCTAGGCTCTGCCATGAGTGATGGAGCCTCCCTCACACCCATGTGCTCAGCAGATTGTGAGGCAGGGCTGAAATGGGGAGGGGGAAAGAAAGTATAACAAATCTTTGGTGCATCCTTGAGGAAAGTTCATCTTCTAAACCTACGCAGAAGCACTTGCCCTATCTGTAAGAGCTGGTGATGTGTCTGTGCCTCCAGGACACCTTTGCAGGGGGGTGGAAAGACAGTTTGGGACAGAGGGATCAGCAGTGGCTCATCCTGTTGTTTACAACACAAAAAGCCTTTTTCTTCCTCCTGGCTGGGCTCCTCAAACTCAATTAACGTGGTGGCTGGGGAAGGCAAGCTAACTGCCATTTAGTGCTGCAGCTTTTCAGAGGCAGGAATTCTTCAGCGTGGTTTGTTAGGAACTGCTGTGGCAGCGGCGGGCGTCGGTCCAGCTCCTGTTCACCTCAACTGGAGGTCTGGGGGCCTCAGCGGGGAACAGCCAGGACTTTCTTGCCTTGGAGAGGACCAAAGGAGAGGTGAGGATGTGTCTCTCTGCTAGATAGGTCCACAGTCAGCTATGCCAGCTGGCGTTTCTTTGCAGACGTGCCTCAGTTTCCCTTCTTACAAAACTGGGGGTGACAGATGCTTTGGATGCTAACGGCAGCAGGCTGGGGGGATGAGCTGGCTCCTGACATCAGCCAGCTCGGGGCAGTCCCATCGCCCTGCCTGGGGCAGGGTTGCACAGGAGGGTGCAGCAGGGCACGTGAAGGTGATGTGCACTCTCGGCACACCGTGGGGCCGGTGGCCACGGAGATGGCCATGCCGGTGAGGACCTTCCTTCCTTCCTTCCTTCCTTCCTTCCTTCCTTTCTTCCTTCTTTCTGCCAC